CCCCCCTCGACACCCCCCCCCCCTTCGATTTCTGAAAAAAAATTTACACCATTGGTCCCCTCTTGAAATTAGAATTTTGACTGAATCATAGTTCCAAACCGTACCAAATGGCACCGTGCGCCCTTTAAAATACCAAAAGTTTTTCGGGGCCCGAACCACACACCAAAGGGGGGGGTCGGCTTCGCATATCTGCGCCCCCCCCCCCCTTCAAATAATCCTCGATCCGCCCCCGTAGGACACGAATGGAATCACCACTCCCATCCCACACCCTACACCAATCCTCTAATTAAAAAATACACTCCACAATGTTTACGATTCCTACCGTTCAGGGGGGGATTTCCAAGTCTATTTATAGATACTCGATAAGTCACGTGAGCATGAGTACGCCATCTTGAAGGGGTTTCCAATAGACATTCGACTACTTTTTAAAACAAATCTGCGCAGTTTGCGTCAGGTAATCGTGTTATACTCGTATCCCAGTCCAATTGATACATTGAACGTTGTCAGAGTCGGTGCAGTGAATTAGGAAGATTTATACTGCTCCGTTGCTTGGATTAATCTTGTGAAGTTGGCAAGTGAGAAAAGAAAACGAAATCGCAACCGATCGTGCTTCGTAAACAAACCATAGGTATGGGTTATTAGTTAAGTTATATATTTAATTAACGATATCAGTATGCAGTCCCCTGCATTGAATTATCTTCCGTGTTTCAAGTAAACTGAGACAATCGGATTTAAAAATCTTCACACATTCTAGGTTCATTCTTCATTCACACTCGCACAACAGTCGGCGAATAAATGTAAAGCTAATGATTCCTTTCAATTTATACCCGACATGAAATAAGATTTATTGTATTGTACTGTATTGTAGGTAATTAGTGCTATACGATTCGACACTTTAATTGCCCTGCCCCCCCCCCCCGCTCGCACGCACGCACGCACACACACACCAGATAACAATCACAGTGCACTGTATATCAGCTATGCATTCAATGTTTGTGCCATACAGATAATTAGTGAAACCCTACGTACCTGCTAGTACAGTGTGTACCAAGATAACGTTACTGTACTTATAATTATTATATCAATTACGAAAGCTGAATTCACAATATATAAAACAATTATAACATTTTACTTCAGACTAGTTCAATCATACTGATCGATTTTTTTTACAGAAGAAGATTATGGCAGATGAAGTAGACCGTGACAGAATTCGCAGACATCGGGTGGCACTAACCAAAAACATGGTGGAGCCAAAGGAAGTGTTGGTGTACCTGAACCAATGGGGGGTGTTCACTAATACCATGAAAGAGAGTACGGAGGTGAGAGGCTTGTTAGACTGGGTTCCCTTGCCTAGATCGATCCAACAGGATCGGTCTAACTCCACGGGGACTCACACTAAATTGCTATCAACTTTAGAGGCTGTCACACCTACTGAATCAGCTAGGGGGTAATTAACTTTCGTGGACTCTCAGCCTTCAGTAATTAATTACCGCTAACAGTTTTATGTAAATCAGGTTAATTGTCTACTTTTATAAAATGCTGTGCCTGCTAATCTAGTACAGCAAGTGAGAATAAAATGACCAAAGTTTCATGCATTATTGTTTGTTTATAAAGATATATAATTATAATTATCATTTTGTGATAAAAACAAATTTTATCAGTCAGATGTGGTAGCATACTGGTAGTAAATGGTTTGAACCCAAATCCTTTACTGGTATACTAGTGTAAACCTTGAGTTTAAGTGAAAGCTTAAAGGGAAGGGATAAAAATAGAACAAGTTAGATTATTTTTTTATTATTTGTTCCTCTTTCATATCAACAGGAACTGGGAAGTAAAAGGGAAATGGTGAACAAGATACTTGATGATACCCCCAAGAGAGGGAAGCACGCCGTCCGCATGTTGTATGATGCTTTGTTGATGACAGGCAAGATTTTGTTACAATTAAGACCACAGATGGATACTGAGAGCCCCCTATCCCCTACCCCCCCCCACACACACACACGCACCTACACACACACACACACACACGCGTGTGCACGCACACACCTACATGCACACACACACACACGCACACACACACATACATGCACACACACACACACGCACACACACCTACATGCACACACACACACGCGCACACACCTACACGCACACACATACACACACACACACACTCACAGAAACATGTACTATCTAACAAAAGCAGAATGGTGTATCCATCATACCAGTACATCTATTCATCTTTGATCCACTTGTGTATTTCCTGTCACTCTGTAAATATAATTATACTGTAACTGGTAGATAAATCTAATTATATATATATATACCAGTATATTATTTTTGTACATTGCATTATGTGATACATTATCATTTGGACAAATGCATTATATCCACAATAAGTGGCCAGGGGCAGAGATACTTATATAAATAAATTAATTAATTTATTGATGGATTGGTCTCATTTGGGAATAACACATTACTGGTAGCTCCAGTTTAAACTAAAAGTATAGCAACAAAATATTACACATTGATTTCATTCGATTTTCATGACATTCATGGACAAAGCAAAATAGTTGATGCCCTGTCTCCTATCTGTAGAGCAAACAGAACTGGCAGACTTAATGTACCCAGAACTGAAAGAGGACCGGCTAGCTGGAAAGCTCAATGTCACGGGACAGAAGTCTGAGGTGGTACAGTCACAGTCTGCAGCCAGCGCTTTCCGAAGACAGATGTCCAATCCTCCAGAAGAGGGCGACTCTGAGGAAGAGGAGCTTCCACCTGGTGGGTTGTGGTGCTTTCCTGGACCCCGTAACTCGAAAGCATCGCGCATTGTGACTAAGCGCAAGCGTCTCGATTCCATAACTCGCCCATACTCGCCCCATATAATACATTGTAGCCTCTGTGTGATATCCCTATTCGCAATCTGCGATGCTTTCGAGTTATGGGGCCCTGGTGCTTAAAGACATATATAGTACTATATCATGTACTACTTACCGGTACATAGCAAAAAAATAATAAATAGATACTGGATATTTCAATAATTTTCTTACAAACTCCAACTTGATGTTTTTGAAAAAGGTGTACATTTGTGATTAAATGAAAAGACTGAGTTGAAGTATCCATGGAAAAATTATTTGAATTTTGTTTTATTCACCTGCAGTGCTTTTTGTGTGTTGTTTAAAATTTGTCAGAATTAATTATTATCATACACTTGTGAATGCAGATTTCACATACTAGAAAATAGAGGCGGTGTTCTTCATTTTCAGATTTTCCCACTGAGGAGACGGTGAAACCAGATATATACAAGGATCTTAAAGAGGTCACAAGTAGAAGGATAAAGAACTTTGCAACAAAACCTAACAAGGTACGACATGTTTTTTTTCTTGTTTTCCATCTGAGATCTATGCTCATACTAAACATGTTTCTGTAGAGCATTTCTTTCTTTCTTTCTTTTTTTTCTTTTTTTTTTCCATTGATAATGGAAAAAATATATAACATTCCTTATTATTGCTCACTTAAATACTAGTACATATGTGGCATATCGATGCCAGTGCGGTTACAGTAGTAATTTTATTATATATGCTGGGTTTTTATTTGTATTCTTGTATATCTTTGTTTAATATCTAATATTATTTAATTAATATCATCATCGCTTTTATTATTTTTAATGGTTGGTTTAGTATTTGTGACTTTTTCATGTAAATTAATCTAATGTAGTAGATTTCTGTTTACTGTTCAACTCTATAGACTTTCTTTTGTTTGTATATGTGTACTAGTACCCGGTATGTACATATGTATTCTAAACATTTTTGCTCAATTAAGAAAAAAAAAAAAAAATAGAAATTTATGACTTATGTATAAAAACTATGATTCTTGTTTGAAATTTTTGAATGTTGGATGTTAGCATCAAGAAAGATCATATGTACTATAATCATTCTAAATCTACATGTTTTCATATTTAAAAAAAAGTAAAATTTAATTATTTTTGCCATCCATGTACTTGTTTTATCTTTATTAATATTATTATTATACTTTTGTGCTCCATACTGAAATATTTGAAGTTATACATTTATCCTGTTGTATATACGTATCCATTTGTTTTATTTATTTACTTATTTAATTTTATGGAGAGCATTTAATGCTTCCAGCGCTTTGCATCCATTTCTTTCGAATAAAGGTTGTTAAAAATATTATTATTATTATTATTATTATTTTTTTTTTTGCTCCTCAGGCCTACACAAACACCTCCTATCCTCGAGGAATAGCACTGATAATTAACAACGTGAAATTTAGTGATACCAAGCTGTCTCAGAGGACAGGATCAGATCTAGATGCACAAAAACTTGAAAAGTTGTTTCATAAACTTGACTACAACGTTCAGACCAAGACAAACCTGTCTGCAGCAGTGAGTGTTGTAAAAGTTTTTTAATGTGTTTTAACTGTTATTTATTTATTTATTTATTTATAAATTTTAATATTATTATTAAATAATAAATTATTTATGTATAAATAATATATAAAAAAATATAAGCACACATTTTGTAGATTTGTTGCATTTACTGCCAGGCAATTACATTTAATTTGATAATAATTACATCAACCATTTGATCAAAATTGGAAACCTTGTCAACTGCATATACCAACTATATAATTACATCTACAACCTAGCTAAAAAAAATCAATGTTTTCCAGGCTATCAAAAGCACTCTTCAAGAAGTTGCATCCAGACAAGAACACAGATCACATCATTCCTTCATCTTGGTAATACTTAGCCACGGAGCCAAAGGGAAGATTTATGGGGAGGATGGGAATCATGTTGAAATTGAAGAGATTCTCAAACAATTTAATGGTATTAACTGTCCACTGCTGATAGACAAGCCAAAGCTGTTTTTTATTCAGGCTTGTCAGGGAGGTAGGTTTTGCACTATACGAGAGAGAACATATTTTCTTTTTAGTGTGATTTTAGTTATAAAATATTGAAGTATTGTTTCCATAACTCTGACTTATTATATGTACAGTAATTACAACTGTACTTGATCTTTTGAGATACATGCTTTTATAATTACAAAAATTATATATCTGTATAGCATTTGTGGCACTTTTTTTGCATAGAATAATACTATAGAGCAACCTGCTTTTAATTTTGTTGCTAATACTCAAAAGTTGTGTTTTGATTTTAAGAAATTAGGCCTTGAAAATACAGCATCTGTAAAATTCACAATTTTCCCCCACTGAAAAGATCTAGTAACTAAGTAACCAAGTATTTTTAATGTTCATTTCTTGTTGATGTGCCTTCCTCTGAGAGTTAGATCAGTTTTATTTTCAGTTGGGATCCAAAATGACACCTGGGTTCAAAAACCAGTAGCCACCGTGTCATTTATGTGAGTCACGCTTTCATAATTAATACTTTGACTTTGTATTTTGCTTCCTCTTTCACAGAAAAAACAGATGGACCAGGAACGCAGACAAAAAAAGAGAACCCGGATGGTGAACGTGATGCAATAGAAGAAATAACAATGCAGCTGGAAAACTCTCGGATCCAGGAAAGACCAGATGCTGTTAATGCCTCGGTGCCCACTATGGCAGACATATTACTTGCCATGGCAACTACTGCAGGTAGGAAAATTGGCCTACCTCATATACACTGTACTTTTAAAATAATTGATATCTTACACAATGGTCCTTCTGACTTCATTTTTGATTTAGTGTTTGTTCATTAATTCTGCCATTTATGAAATGTATCTATCTATATTTATTTATCTGGCTAGTATTTATTTGATTGTTTACACATTTATTCATTTAAATATAAATTTCATGTATAATGCATATCTATTTATTAATTTATTTATTTAGAGATGTATATTACTTAGATAATGCATATTTTTCTTTTTTTTTCAGATTATGTATCTTGGAGAAATGATTGCAAAGGGACATGGTTTATACAGGCGTTAGCCTATGTGATAAGCAAGTATGGCCACAGGGACAGCATTGCAAGTCTCATGACCAAAGTGAGTGAAATAAATCTTCTGAAGGAACCTACTGGTACTTTTTCCCCTTATGAGAAATTGCTTGAAATCCACCTCTCCGTTGGCAATAAAAAGAGAAGGTTCATAACAAAAGAGAAGGTTGTTTTTTAGAATGAAATGATAATGTATACAGTGCAGAAGCAAAAAAAAAAAAAAAAAAAAAAAAAAAAAACACTGTGATATAGTGCTCTTTTCTTAAAGAAGTTAATAATTTTGCTCATTAGAAATGGTATAACACATGAGATCCAAGTGCAAGAAGTGTTCTTGAGTAGTAGAAAATTGCTTCTCTTTCAAGGAAAAATTTGATTCAGCAGGACTTTGCTGAATAAGCTACCTTTAAAGTTGTAACTATAAGAGACTAATATTGTTGTAAGGGTGATCCCCAGCCTTAAACAATCATTCTTTTATAGATCAAAACAACGTAGTAAGAGTTACTCCACATTGTCCGGGTGCAAGTTGAATCCAATCCCTTTATTAGATAACCACAAAACATTAGCAACCAAGAAACTTTCTTCATCAGAATGTTTTCTTTACTTTTTTTCTTCATTGTGATAAAATTTAGGTAAACAATCTAGTGGCCAAAGCAAAAACCAATCAAGGTCAATTCAAGCAAGTTTCAGAATGCCGATCATCGCTGAGAAAGGACTTCTACTTCTTTCCTGGACTCAGAAATCCTCAACATGCTTTCGGTGGGGGGAACCCTGTCAATCATCAGACCCAAGGTCAAGGTCAAGAGCATGCGACCCAAGGTCAGGGTCATTTCCAAAGTCAAGGTCATGTGACAGCTGGGGTCAATATGGCAACTGGAGAGGGCAGCACTGTAGGGAGTAGGTATATACTGACGGCACTGCAACCTGGAGGGGATCCGACAAATGTTCAAAGTCAGACTGTCCCAGATGAAAGGTCAAAGTTCAACAACCAAGCCGGTACTGATGGTTACTATGGAGGAGAACAGTATGGTCCTTCATATGGCCCTCAAGGATATGGCACCAATCAGCATGGATCCTTCCACAACTCCCAGCCATATGGACCCTTGTACCCTGCACAGCAGCAAGGCCCCCAATTCATTTCCCAACAATTTGGACCCCATTTTGGGTCCCAGCAGTACGGCCCTCATGTTCAACCCCCAAGATATGGCTACAGTTACAGTACCCCCCAGTATGGGACCCATTTTGATGCCCCAAAATACGGAGGCGATTATCAACACGTGGGATATATTGGGAACCCACCCTCTGGAAACCCCCCTATTTATTATGAGCAGCACAGGTCTACGCCGGACCCTGGGGTTCCCCATGTGGGACCCTCGTTAAGTGGTGGTTATGTGCCCTCTGTGTATGGCCCAGCAAGGACAGGGCATGACAATCTGGCCCATCCAGTAGAAGAAACTGAGGCCAAATATGTCTTCTCTGGGTGAATGGATTGTATTGTCTTATTTTGGACTTTGGATAAATACAGTGTAAATGTAAGGAATCAAAACGGTGATCCCCCCTCTATTTAGGAATAACAAATCGTACATACCTGTATATTTTATTATAAAGCATTACAATATTTTTATTGTATTATTATTATTATTATTCAGGTATTATCTCATCATTTCTGTCATTATATGAACATTGATTGCTTGCTAAATTTAAACGATTGAAAGTTAATTTATAACATTACCCAAAATTATTATTTGCACTCAATTCTTGAAAATCAAGATAGATTATTGTCATTATTTTAGGATTTTATTTTTATTTTTAATTCTTATTTTTATGCGAGTAATGAAAGCATAAGATATTGGAATTATGGATGATGTTTGAAGTTCATGAATATAATTACCAGCAATTGCCATAGTAACCATATTTAGCTATGATAGCAGTCATATGGATATCAGATGAAATATGCATAGCCCAAGTACCAGTAAACACGTCAAATCATTTCCACCAAACCCGGCCAAATGCCACCACATTGTTTCGTGAAGTGCTACATATATAACTTTAAAAAAGAAACCAATACCACAGGGTTTCGTTTCATTATTTTCCAAAACTGTGATATTTGAACAGATGTTTTCTGCTCACTTTCTTTGCTTCACGCACCACTAGTAAGGGTTGGATCTATCCTAGTTGAACTTTATATATCTGTCATTCTTTGCTAGTGGTTACAAAATGTTGAATTTGACCGAAAATTTCAAACTTTCCCTGGGAAGCTGTAATTTTGCGATGTGATAGCTACACCATCACAGTTTATCATTTCATAAAAAGGGAAACAGCAGCTGCCCTTTTTAGGGCACACAGGAGAGTTGAACAGCTATACCCACCAAATCCAAGACGCGTTACCCTGGGTAATATATTTTGCAAGTCTAATGGAATGTTTTCAGTTTC